GGGGGGGGGGCGGGGGGGGGGGAGGAAGAGGCTTCTCCCCATCCCGCCCTTTTGTTGTACATCTCCCAAATGAAGACCCTGCAGGACCTTAATGATAATGAAGAGCCATTCTCTCCTCTGGTGAGTGACCTCACCCAATCTAACCAAATTAAACAAATGTCCAGGAGTAGTTGTGGAAATAGTTACTAAATTTCTCTGCTCTTTTGTTACAAGTAACAGCTACATGAGCTGCAGCCACAAGAGAGCAAGTGTTACTGTAGCCACAATGGTTTCAGGCTAGCCAGTGAAATTACAAGCGAAGCAGCTTAGCCTGCAAACCCCTCTTCAAGCACAACTAATGCTCAGGTGGTATGCCTGTGGTAGGCTCTTAGGTGTGGAGGTCTATGCACACATGTACATTTGAAATATGACCAACAGCTACACACAAAATCTCCTTCTCTTACTACTCTGTGGTTTGTTCGTTTTTATGTGCTGCTAACATTTTAACTTTCTTCAAAAGAATAGCCTGGATATTTTGATGGCATGTGTACCATCTCTCTAGTATACACTAAACGTATTTGGTGAGCAAAAAAGTTAAAACAGACATCCTGGAAATTCAAAGTCTCATAATTTTCAAAATGTCCTTTTCTGTTGACAATTATTCTTTTCATACAATTTGGCTCTGTCATTTTACGTACAGAAAAAAAGCAGTATCTTCCCCCATGCTTTAAAAGGCAAAAATGTTTTAAAGAAAAAAACAGAACAGCTTACCACATCGATGTAAAACAAACAAAAAAAAAATCAACCTAACATGTACAGGTGCTCTCACATGCAGAAAGACAAAACCCAACACCTTTATAAATTAAGTTTCTAGGGCTCAAGTGAAGAAAAATAATCCACCACCACTCTTAGCTTTCCAAGCAACTAGTGAAAATACTGGGTTCATACTGTGCATCCTAGATTTCCTGTGGAAACCAACATGATAATTGGTAACCAAATCTACACAGAGAAATTACAATGCATGGTATTGGAACTTTGCTCTCCCAAAATCAACTAGGAACAAGTGGAACCTGGATCACATTCAGACTGAGGAAAGTGCCTATTAAGTAGGGGAAGATATGGACAGAATTGGCTGGGGCTTACTGGAGAGTATTCTGAGCACTGAATTACAGAAAATCTTCACTGCTAAGAACAAATTTTTCTTGAAGAAGAGGATAGCCCTATGCTATCATATACAATAGCAGTAGCTCTGACTGAATTGGAATTGCTGTAAACAGTACGACTGAAGCCAAATTCAACTCAGAATTTCTGGAACTGCATTAACGTAGTGCAGTAACAAGAAAACAAAACCTAGATTTTTACAGGAAGTCAGTGAATCAAGCCTGTGATTGGAAAGAGGCATTTCAGTAATAACACTGGAATACCAAACATTGACAAAAGGTAAATTATAGACCTATATGTTATGAAAAGGAGGAAATATGTGTTTCAACCCAGCTGGTGGTCAAAAGCAATCAGTTCGCACAGAAAAAACGTTGACATCCTGAGATTAAAAAATATTGCACCATATAAAGAATGCAAAGGCACTCTGAAGGATGTTCAGCTAAAAAGGAGTCCTGACACAGTGTCTACTCATACCTCACAGTCATCTTCACATCACAATACTTTAATTTCAAAGGTAAGTTTCACCATCTGGAACCTGAAGATCCAAACATTAAATATTTCCCAGAAAAACTTATTTGAAGCCCTTGCCACTCAGGAAGAGTCAAATTGGGAAGAAACAGAAGATGTGTGAACGAAAATGTCACAGAATGCCCAAGGCAGAAAAATCGTCAATATAAAACAGTGGCCCCAAGTGAAATAAAGACTAGATAAAGGGGGGGTTGGGAAATAATCCAAAAAACCTAAGGAGCTCTTGAATGAAGACAATTCAAACCAAGGACATGAACCAAAATATAGTTACTATACATATGACACTAAGAACAACAAATGACATAATGTGGCAGGAGTGATATTAAAAATCACAGAACTTTGCCCAAGACACTAAACTATAGCACCCCCCTAAAAAAATAAAGCACACCAAACAATCCTCTTTCCCCATAAAAAGTATAACATAATCAAGTGGCAGGAACAATACAAAAACAAGAAAACAAATTATTCTAGGTAAGGCTGAAATTGGAAATACAATTCTGAATCTAGAAAAGTTAAGTTGAAGAGATGGAAGATTCACTTTCACCATGTCTTAAGCAAGAAAAAAACCCCAGGAACATCTTCCTAAAGGTACTCAAGAATTTCTTAACATCCAAAGAATAGGATGTTACATTTTGGATAACTTAAAAAAGTTAAGAGCTCATGAAAGCCATGATCAAAATGTCAACACTGTAAAGAAACCATATAATAATTTCAATCATAGAAGTTTTAAGAGACCATAGAATATGTATGCACTGGATATCACAGAAAATGATGCATTGCTTTGTAGAGCATGTCAGTCTAACTTGGAATAGACAGAACTGATAAATACATGGTTAGAGATCCTTTTCCATGCTGTGTACCTTGAAAGTCCTATTTCAGGCTGCAACTTCTTCAAACAGGTGTTCCTCTACTCTGCCAGGGAAGAGCAACAACCTGCAGATTTTGGCAAAGTAAGACTGTAAAACTTAACTAAAGTCTCATCTGTGAAACTCCTGTTGAAAGTAAACTCGATGAATGTGAAAGAACTCTCACAAAAAGAAGTGCTTTGTGCACAGTGTCTTTAAAGGAAATCACTGTCTCAGTGAGTTATGTCCCACTTGCTTACACCTTTTGGAGATGTTCAGCTTTTCTAGGTCTGTTTACCCTAAGGTTTTCTAACAAAAACAACGTAGAGGCCACTAGCAGCTTTATCTAGTAGAATAAAAACATGAGCATCTATGTGCGAGGGAAGTAAAGGAGGGGGCTTTCTTTTGCAGTAAAGATTCTGCAAGATACCCTAACACTCCTTTGAAGGATTTAATAAAGCATACTATGTCATAAGTAAACATTTATAAAAATAAAATTCACAGACTTGAAACATGTAAAGTAGCAGACCTTTCTGTATTAACCTGTCTTGCTTTACAAAGATAGATTTAAGAGGACTCCAGAGGCAACCTAGATATCCTACTGATATCTGGACTTTTGATTACATCATTTTTTAGGCCTTCTTAGAAACAGTGACAGACTGATTTAGCTAACCCGCTTCACTAGACATGTCCACCATTTCTCTCTGCAAACTAACAATCAACTGCTGAAGACTCAAAATTGGAAAGTATGAGTTCTTCCCTAATGAATCTGCCAGAGATTCAGTTACCCAGTTGATAGGCAATGATTACATTGCATTATTTTTCTTAAAATACAGCCCCCCATCAGCAGTGCTTTAGCCACAAGTCTTAAGAACACCACCTAGTTCTCATGTTTTAACGGCCTTATTAACTATGTTCATTCAGACTGATTGCCCTGTTCAGCAATTGCAGAATACATTAGGCTGCATGATTTTTATTTATACCAAAAGACTGACAGCTGGGACAACCACAGGTGTATATATTTGCAGGGACAATGGAGATGGTGCCTACTGTCAGGCTTCATTCATTTTAACCTGACAGTAGTAGCTAATACTATAGGCACATTGTCTAAACAGTTTCAGCTTAAATTATTTTCAATAAAGGTATCTCATCATAGTTTACCTCATAAAAATGTGAAATTTTAATCTTCATTCTTTATCTCTCACAAATGTCCAACAGCTAAGGCAACAAAACCAGCATCTAACTTGACTCCCTAAAGTTATCATTCTGAGGTTCTGTAGCAATCCAGGAAGATCTATGATACATGATGTATGTGCATAATTCCCTTGGGCTTTTAAAACAAAATAAGTATGTCATCAAACTGTTTCATCTACTGACCCTGCAACTTTTGGTTGCTTAAGTCCTCCTTACCATACCACTGTTTCATTACAACTGCCATATGAACCGAAAAGCTTAAGAAGTGAAAATCCCAAGAGAGGCACTATAAAAATCAGGTCAGAAAACCACAAAGTTACTTTAAACACCAAATGCAAGCTATTAAAAAGTGAGATTAATTTATCAATACAGAGGAACCGTCTCTGAGCAAAATCTGCAAAATTTAGAGAATGAGAATTTCCTTCATTGCTCCACATAACATAAACAACATAACCTAAATGGTACTGATTTCTCTGATGCCTAAGATTTTCATTCAACAATTGCAACAATTCCACTGTTACTAAAGCTATCATCTTTGAGCCTTGCAAATCAGTATTTTCAAACATGTATTTTAATTCACCAGTGCAAGGTTATGGTCCTAGAATCTTTACAGTTTACATAATGCTAGTCTATAATCTAGTCCAGGTCTTCAAATTACTAGACTGAGTCAGTATGTTCCTCATTAATTTATTCACAAGTAATTGCACCTGAGTATTTTACAGTTTGAGGGAATAAAAATTTACCTGATTGAGTATTACAGGCTGTGCTGTTACAGTAGTCACTGGCCTGGATACAGGTTGAGCCACTACCGGAACCGTGATATTTCTTGATACTGGTTGTGTCGTCACTGGAATGGTTACAGGTCTGCTGACAGGCTGTGATATTCCAGAACTTGACCCAGGCATCTGTTGTGTTGATAAACATCCAGCAACTGGTCTCTGCAGTGTTTGTGAAGTTCCTGAAACATTCACTGGTATAGACAATGGCTGAACTGCTACAGAGCTAGCTGTAGGTCTGGATACAGACTGAAAGACTGATGAAACAGGCATGGCACTGGGGCTGGAGGCAGGTGTCGCATAATGGTGACTGTCAGGCTTGAATGTAGCAACTGTACCTGTTTACAAAGGATTCCAAAGTTATCTTTATATAATTTTGCAGTCAGATGTTTCATAAGTGTTGTGGATTTTTTGTTTTTAATTACCATATTAGGACAATAAAGTACCTCTACTGGGTGCACCATTCTGTATCCCCCTTCGTGATGAGCTGAGGTTGACTCTGTTCAATATATCTGTCAAAAGTTACATTTATCTTAATTGCAGTTAAATTAATAGCTTAATTGCTTTTCAAATTAAAAGTAGCATTCCTATCCACTAATTAAGCCAATTAGGATTTGACTTATAAATTAGAATATAATTTTTTAAAAAAATACCTGGCAAAACAAAGTGTCATTTGTACAAATTAAGATACATTCTTCTACTCCCCTTCTCTTAGGTTAAGCTAGTTCACTTAAGAATCTCAGTTTTTATTTTCTCGCAGATAGATTAACACACAAGTAAGTGCAAATAAAAAAAAAAAAGAACACTTCATAAATATTTAACTTTGCTGATTATAATGCATTTATTCACTTCTGTTTCTCATGTACATAATAAATTCCCCAAATACTAGAACTGCTCTAAACTAAAGGAAGCATTTGCTCTAAACTGGTAACTACACAATTTGCTTTTGTATTACAGGAAAATACAGCACTTACAAACTTGTTTTTAGACATCTCCATTTTCCAATGTGAAAGAAAAATCAACAGACCAGCAATCAAAGGAGTTGTGCTGGAATTGCATTACCAGAGGACTGATTTTCTTACATATCCTACATGGCAGTCTATGACCAGAGTTCTAGCTCATCAGAAACACATGGAATTTCTTAGATTTGATGTTTACTCCTTAACTAATGCCACCAATATTTCCCAGCTTTTTGTCTTAGTCCGGGGCTTCGCATGATTCCAGAATGTTATAAAAATATTCATCAAATCAAAATATTTTCCTACCGCCAGATTCTCAATTCCGTTGGTGTTGCTGTCAAGTTTCTTGCTCTGACATGTGAAAATATGCGTATGAAATGAGATTGATCCTCCAATATCTAACCAACAAGGTTTAAAGTACCTTCTCAAACCTGGGTAAAATCACATCAGGATCTCAAACAATAGATCTTAAGACTATCTACGCATTGTGTTCTACAACCTTAAGGCTGTTTCCACCAGCAATGGCTCATCAGTATATACTACTCAGGCTGATAAATCTAATAGCAGTAGAGCTCAGAAGATCACAGCTTGCAGCCTGTCACTGGCATTTAGAACATACCAATAAAAAAGCAGCTGCAACAAACAGATCCAAACAGGTTCCCATTTTTTAAGATATGAAAAAATTTTGTCCTGTAATAGTAATACTAGTTTTACTTCAACACAACAGTAACTATGAGCAAGCATTAACTTAATTCAGAATTTAGCTGAATACATACTTTTTTGTGTTTGTTAATAAATCTATACCTCACATTTGAATTCCAGAGTTAAATGAAACTAAAACCTTCATCTACCGACAAAAAAAAAGCTATCCTAAAAGTTGTCTCAGAAAGCACATTCAGCTTCAGACAGTCTGATATGCACACAATTCATATCCTAAAATACAAAGGTAGATTTTACTGTATATTTTTAAAGGTATATTTTTTAAAAAATAACATTTCAGGAAGTCAGTGAAATTATAAGCTAGATTTACATGACAACTAATTCATCATGGATGAATTGATATGCCCTTTCCCCTCCCCCATCAAAGTGTTATTTGTCCTGTTTAATAACACTGAAGTATAAGAAAGCTAACATGCAGAACAACATTTTAAAGTAGCAGCAAATTTATCATTATGTAAAAGGAAACAAGAAAAATGAGCAGTAACTATAGGGAAAATGAGCAGTTGCAGGAAATGGTAAAGGGAGCAAAGTGTGAATTACTTTTCATCCCAGTCAAACTAATCCTTCGGTACATGAGAAGAGACACTTTATCGTACATGACACTGTGCCAGCAGGTCAAAGTTGGGATTTTAACTATTTCCTTCAAGTTTTCCACACCAGTCTGTATAAAAACTGATAACTGCATTGTCAGGAAAAGGTTAAAAAAATTGCAATGTATTGCAGAAAATATACCTTTCAGAAAAATTAAGAACTACTAGTGAGTCTCCATTTGTCATCTAATTTTTCATCTGATCACACAGGAATTCTCAGGTAAAAACTAAACAACAGTGATAAGCAAAGTTGAGTTCATTGTGTCTTGCCTATCACCAATAACAAACTGAAGCCTGACTAGTGCCAGGTAGTACTACTTACAAGCCAGAGAAGAACTGAGGTCATTCTTCCATAGCTGTTTTTGATAGTGAAGTAGAAGATTACAAAGAGAAAAGTTGAGGAAAGGGAAGGAAAAGAGATAAAGTAAAAAGTTATACCATAAGTGATTTTACTTGTGTCAGGACCGAGTATGGACAGCACTAGAATAAGATGCATACGTTTTAAGTCTCTATCTTTTACCTGAGTTCTTGAAGTGCTGAATCATATCACAACTACGGTTTTCACCTGAACTATTTCTATCATTTAAGACTACAAAAAAATCTTGAGACTACAATGACTGCAATGAAACTTGGCATATTTGTTGTTCCAACGTATCCCTACTGCCTTAACAGTTGTTCTATGCCATGACCTACTGCCAATGACCAACAGCAATCCAGAGGTCTCTGGACCTTTCAGAAAACAGTAAGGGTATTTTTCAGTCCTTCTAGAAGTTTGTAACTGCAGAAAACTTCTTGGAGTAATTTTAAAATATTCTTCAAATTTTCAAGAGGATATAGAATATTTTTAAAATATTCAAAAAGATTAAACCTTAAGAACTATCTTTGGGAGGGAGAACTTTAACATCAGCTTCATTATTTCTTTAATATGTAAAACAATTTTCAACTTTTTAAAGCTAGTTTAAGAAGCATTAGACTTACTATCCCAGTAAGTAACAAAGTAAAATAGAGTTCAGATGCAAGATGGAAGTATTGTGAACTAAAATGACTGAACAGCTAATAATAGCTCCAAAGTCCATGCAGCAGAGTGTGACAGAGAGCCTAGTTTAACATTTTGTCTTGAGATGCTTCACTGCAAACTATACACCTTCAGAAAATGACTATAGAAATCCTGGATACAAGCATAGCAGAGATGAGGCAGAAACTGAAAGCATTAAACCTCACCAGGCAGTCTTGTGTATTCGACAGCTAGAGAAACCTTAGGTCAAACCTCTGAACAACTGATTACAAGATGGCCACACACAGAAATCAAAAGTTTTATTACTAAAATTAATTTAAATAACAAAAATAATGTTCTCCTTTACTTACCTGCTAAAGCCCAAGCACAGGACAAACATGGAATCCTGACACATCTGCTGTCATCACAACCACCTAACCTCACTCCCTGCGCTAGGAGAAAACTACAGAACTCGATGAAAAAAACTCCTTATTTTACAGGGGATGAATGAATTTATTAATAAAAAATCTCTTACTTAACAGAGAGGCTTCTACTATTTTCACATTAATCGCTTTTCCTGATTGTGCTTTTATTATAGACACTTAAGACAGTTACCTTGGTTTTGTTAGAATGATGTCCACCAACACACGAAATGTGGGGTGAAGAAAAAAGAAGGACCGTAACATGAAGACTTAAATTCATGCACATTCCTTTAGGAGGAGACAATTCCAAGTATCTAACTAAATATCAGCTATATTTAGAGCAATTGCATGCATGGTTTCAGCATTGTATATATTGGATTTTTAACCATATTGTTAATGCTAAAACCTTCAAACGTCCTTGTTCTGACCTTAGAGATTTAAGATTAGAGGTAGACAGAGCTGTGTGTAACCTGGGTTTTAGGACAGAATTTCTTAAGAATTCCAATTTTAAGTATGACAGCGACCTAAAAAACAGCTTTAAGATGTAGAACTTCTTAAGTATTACCGCTAAAAATTCTGTATTTTAAAAGTAAGTTTAAAGTCTTATACCTTGAAATACCTGTTTTAAATTATGGAAAATGTTATCTTACATGTACTAGCTGGCTTCGAGCTTGAGATTTCCCCAACAAAGATTGGCTCATCATCATCATCATCATCCTCCTCCACTTCTTTCACTCTCTTTTGCCATGGTTCTAGCTCCTCTTCTTCACATTCCATAAATAATTCTGCCATCTTGAGACTAGACAGTAAAAAACAAAACACACATACCAAAACATTCAGCACTTTCATGAAACAAATGTTTCGCTGTTCAGTAAAGATTACTGCACTTGACAATAATTCCCATAGAATAGCCTTTCTCACCTGCTCCCCCCACCATGTTCTATACAAGCTGAACCTGATCTGATATAGGTGATCTTCAAAGATCAACACCACATCACCTTTCTGATAATTACTTGAATTCTCATCTTTGCCGTTAAAGATAAGAAAAGTGCAAAGGTATCCTCCACATAATTTAAGCTATTTTTGTATAGTCCATCAGTAACTATCAGAGGGAGCCTCTGACACCACAGTGAAAGGTATCTTTTAAAGAATACTCCTATTCCAGGTAAGTGATTCACAAGAATTGTGAAGACCCTACTATGAAGCATGTAATATACCTGGCACAAGTGAGTTATTGGAACACTAGTTACAGCTTTATTCTCTTTACATCTAAAAAAACCAATCCAACCCAAACCCCACCAAAAGCCACAACATACCACAGCCCCACAAGTTTTGTAAGGTTTTGCCAGCGCTTCCCATATAGTCACATTTTCTTTAAAACCCAATGAAAACAAAACAAAATTTCCCCAAACCCACGCATCAAAAAACAAAGCACCCACTAAAAAACCCTCAAACAAAAAACCCCCCAACAACAAAACCCCCAAACCATACCCACAAAGCATTGCATAGTGGTTTAATTATCAATTTGGACTTAATAAAAATTTTGCATAGATCTCATTAGACTGAGTCCCTTGTGCTTGGAGACTTGCTCTTGCAGTAAGGAAAAAAAGTAATGCATGAAAATAGTAATGAAAATATGTAGCTTTTGGAATTAACCACATTAACATCAGCACCTCTAATCACAACTGGGTTTATTTGCTTTTTTAAATAAATGGTGATGGCCAATGAAGTTTTCTTCTTTCTTTTCACATCCTCTAACATAATCTTGAAAGTATTTCTGAATAATACAGAAAATATGAAACTTTTAGTTTTCTTTACATACACTACCGATAATCCAATTTGTAGTAAGAACCAGTAATTTCATAAAATCACAGGGCTGTCTCAGCTATAACCAGGATCAGGATCCCAATACAACAGTGTTTGCTTTGCCTAAGACACAGAGCTTCATAAAATTCAATGTCTCCATTTTTCGGTAGATTGGAGGGGAAACAATATAGTTTTGCATGAGGAACCCAACAGTAACTCCAGTCAATATAGGAATTCCTTGAAATTCATGAACAGTTAAGCACATGAAATTCAATTAATCATTGGACTATTTTGACAAAAAAGTGAAGAATATCCGAGCAACATTTCTGTTCATGAAAGCCACAATCAATAAAAGAATATTTCTAGTCTTATTACCAGGCTACTGCCAACAAAAAAACATTAGCAATACTTCTCTTGTTCTTGCGCTGATGCAACACTTACCTGACAAAGCAAACTAGTTAAGGAAGCTTGACTTCCCACTATTATGCAGTAATAGTTCTCTTACAGTTTAACTCCCTAAACCTTATAGCCAGGGCACCAGACCAGCACTAACGTTATGATTATGTCATTAAAGACTATCAAACCTTATACACAAGGTGACAAAATCAAGATTAGATTCATAATCATAAACTGATATTTTAAACTAAATTATTCATCTTGTAAGATGACAAGGGTGTTTATTCAACACATTTCTCTGTACAATTTCTCATTATTTTCTCCTTTCCAAAAATATTTCAAGAGCAACATATATATTAAACATTGGGTCATTTCTTTTTTGAAAGTATAATTATGCAAAACTAAGAATACCCCTCCATCTATCAACAGTGTTTGAAATGGAAGTCTTCAGCACAGGCACAGTGAGAAACTGTCTAATATCTAATAAGAGAAGACAATTTCAGGATAGGAGTAATGAGCGGCTAGATTTGGTGATGGACTGTAGAAATAATTAGTGTGCAATAGCTTATCACAGGGGAGCAGTCAGAATTGTGCCCCTACTTGCATTAAAGTGCATGAGAATGGGGCTGCTGGTGTTACATGCTAAGTCATGGGGACAATAGCAAAGCTATACTCCTTCCTTCCTCCATCAGCTCAGGGTGCTGAAGTTAAACATGGTGCTAGGAAAGAAGAGAGTAAGACACTAAACCAGATTCTTGTCACAGGAAAAAAAGGAAGAGTTTGAAGCCAGTTTCCACTTGACAGAGACAACTGGGGCCATGTGCCAGGACTTGGCAAGAGAATCAAGCCTGACCCGCCTCTGTAGAAGGACATCCCTTAGAATGCCTCTTCTTTACTAACACAGTGGCAAAGTTTATTAGACCTCAAGGCAAAATGAAAGACGATTTTCAGAAACTTTTTTCATGGAACTGACAACATAAGTATGAGTTGTGAGTTATTTAAAAAAAAAAGTTTTATTTGACCTCAGGAAAAAAAATAATCAGTTATAAAATGTGCTCAGAGAATACAAATGAAAGCACATGCAATTTATATTTAAAAACATCAAATAGGCACTAGCAATCTGTATGTTAGCAGAATTCTAATAACATACATGTGATAACCTCAGCTATGCTATAATGCAGCTTTTTTGTTTGTTTGTTTTTTACACAGTTAAAAGTAATTTCATAACATAGGCATGGACTTTTAGAAAATTACACCAACTGGTGGCAGCTCTTATGGACATTTCATTTTATGAATCAGGATGTACATATTTAGTTATTCTCAAAAGGTGACTCAAAATGTATGGCAGCTTTAAAAAGGCAAGTATCATTTCAGATCTTTTAATCCGATTTTTTTATTTCAATGCTACGATTTGAAGCCAAGCTATCACCAAATTTTTCCCTGGCAAGAAAGCCAGCCTAACGAGTTCCCACTCTGCTCCCTCAGTTGTGCTAGTACAACTTTTCACAGGACTACATGACGTGAACCACTGCAGGTTAAAAATAACCTGGCCCACTAACAGTTTTACTGGCACAACTGAGAGGTCAAAAAAAAAAAATCTGTGGCCTGAGCAATCAAAGTTGCAGTAAGGGGGAATGGATTTGATTGCAGGAGGTGTGCAGGAACTGGTCAAATGGTCTCCACTGCCAAAAGAAACATCTACATCCATTTTTAGAGTACAACTAGCTTCCAAGTTTTTGGCTTCTTTAACTATTTTAACGTAGAAAATGTATTCCAGGAATCCTGCTAGTGGTTGCTCTCAAAGCCAAAACCAACAGTGAATCCTTCCCCCCTCTCCCCAAATAATTCCCTGCGGAGGTACAGATGCCAGGATAAAAAAGGTAAACCTATTGACTATAGACTTTATTTTCCTCATTTTTTAATATGTATAAACATATATACAGATTCGTACACACATTTCTTTAAAGGTAGTCCATGGACCTGAGAGGTCCAAAACTCCAATGACATGCTATATGTATATAATCAAAGAAAGCATTTAAACCATTGTTCTAGGCTAAAAAGTGTCAAAATTGTGAAAAAGTTCTTTAAAACATGCAAAAAATATCATTAGATTATATGAAGATATTGCTTTTAAAGGCAACTGCCCAGCAAAAACTAAGGCTAGTCATGAAAGTTCATTAGGCAGGTGCAGAGAATCAACAACCTGCAAAAACAAGTCCATGGAACACTATTACAGTTACTAGACAAGCAATGAACTAAAAATCTGATACAGGACAAAAAAATTGAACTCATTGCACAAAAGAGCAATAAGCTTCTGATGAAATAAGTGTTTTAAAATCACTAGTCTGGACATCTTTATTTATCGTGGTGATTACATTTAAAGATACCCAACTTTATAAAAAGCCAGTTGTATTTATAACCTGTTTTTTTTGTTACTGTTAGGATTTAAAAGCAATCACACAGAAACAACAAAAATGATACAAATATTAGTAAATGTAACAAGAGTGTAACAGCTGTAGTGAAAGCAGCAGGAAGTGATCTGTAGAAGTGCACCTTAAAGATACACAGAAATCAATACTATAGAAAATAATGGCAAATGCAGCTGCAATAACATTTAGTTACTGAAAACCCATTTATTACTTTAGATGCAATTCACCTGTTCCGCTCTTAAGGTCAAGTGAGCTTTCCAATACTCAATACTTGTTTGGATTGGCTTAAAATAACTGAAACCAAATCAGTAGTATGAAATTTGTAGTGAGCTTAAAGAGTGAGGACACCTACGTTAACCAGAAAGTTCTCAGACTAGCCTTGTTTGTCATATTTCCGTAATAGTATTTTCAGTGAATTATTCGAGCACTTTCTTCCTCCCATTTAATAGCTACACTCCATATGCACAGGGAAGTTACATTATTCGCGACACAGATCATACGGTAAGCACCCAGATTGTATTTTTCAGATGACCTCTCATACATGCACATAACTTTGCACCATGTTAGTTGTAGAAGAGCGTGCAATCCACAGCTTCATCGGGACTGCGAGCAACTGTATTTTTACCGAGTGCTGCATTTGTTTCAGCAGCGAAGAACCGATGACCGAGCTGAAACTGAACCTGAAAGTTTTAAAAACACGAAGTATAAACCACCCTCCCTCAAAACCAAACCTAAACAGCCGACACTACCCTCTCTGCCACGAGACAGCATAAGCTCCGCCTAGGGAAGGGCAATATCGCCTCTGCAAACCGCTCAGAAGTTCACACCCCCGAGCTGCGATGGGTGCGAGGCCGCGGGAGGAAGCCAAGTCCCCGAGGGCAGCCGAGCAGCTGCCGCTCCGCCCGCAGCGCCCCTGGCGCCGCCGCCTCTGCCGCAGCCTGACCGCCCCGCGTCCCGCCTCCCCCGTGCCGGGTGACCGCAAGGACTCGACTGAGGCTGCAGGTTCGGGTTTGGACGAGGCCCGCATACCACAGCCGCGGCGGGAGGGGAGGAGGCCCGGCGGCAAGGCCGGCTCCCGCTGCCAAAGGCCGGGGGCCCCAGCCGCGGCCAGCCCCTGGACGGCGGAGGCAGGGCGAAGCGAGCCCTGCCTGGGACTCCCCTGCCGGGCGGACGCCCCCCCCGCCCCCCGTTTCCCGGCGGGGCCCCGCGGGCGGCTCAAGGAAGCCCTCACGGCCCGGGGTCCCCGCTCCACAGACGCGAGGGGGTGCAAGGCCGCGCTCCGACCTAAGATGGCGTCGGTCTCGCAGGCGACAATCCCCCCGCGGCCCGCTCGCCCGCCCGCCGAGCGGCGGCTCCCTCCGCCCGGGGAGGCGGCAGGCCGCCCCGGCCGGGAGAGCCGAGGGAAGGAAGGCGCTGCCCTTACCGTACTGCGCGTCCGGCGAGGCCTGCGGCAGGCCGCCCCGCTCCCTTCCTCCCGGGCTGGCGGGGGGATGGGAGGCAGCCGCGCTGGCGGAGCCGCCTCACATCGCCGAAACGGGGCGCCCCACCTCAGCCGCCGCCAGGGGAGGGAGG